GTCTCTGAACATGCCTGTATGCAGGTAGGTTTGTGTGACTACACAGATGTGTGTATGTGTATCTGTTTGTGTCATAATGACACATGTGTGATTCGGGGTGTGTGTGTAAGCTGCCTGTCTCTGGGAGACAGATGATGTATGACTCTGCTGGCTGCCGGCTGAGCCCTCATTGATTTATCTGGGCCCATTCATCAGGGTTTAATAAAACTAAAAGACGAGCATCCATCAGGAGGGGCGGTCGGCAACCAGGTCCTGAGCCCGATGACCTGCTCTTCCGCCCACTGGACCTATGGGGAGGCTTCCTTGGCCTACACACAGCCCTGTGATGCCTGTCAGGATGCTCAGCCCCACCATGTACCCCTAACCTTAGGGGAACTTGGCGGGGCTCCCTGGCTGAATGGGTGCAGCTAGTCAGGACCAAGCCTGGTAGATACCAATACCGTGCACAGGTTGATAAAGCATTGAAAAACTTCCAGAGTCTTGTGAAATAGCCTGTGCCTCAGCCTTGCTATCCCAACTGACTTGACCTTCCAAGACCCTCTCGAAGTTCTCAACCTAGCAAATAACCGCTGGGAGGGCGAGATGCCCCTGGACCCTGTTTCTGTGCTCCGGCCAGCTTTCTGCTCTGGCTGGTCGGTGTTCATGCCATACCGCTTGTTAAATATTTTGATTATCACCCTACCCAAATCTAGCCAAAGGTCTGTGGTTGGGTCTCTGAGAGGGCCTGAGGGCTGGCCTCGCAGGCTGGCCATGACTGGCCCATGTGTAGAATTGTTCTGTGTGAGCTCAGGATTCCACCTTCCTGGTGTCTCTGGTTTCCAGGTGCTGCGGCTGTGCTTGGCCTCCCTGACCCAGGATGTGGGCATCTTGGGTTCCTGGCTTGTGGCTGCTCAGCCTCTGGGCCACCTGCAACCATGGCGCAGACACAGGTGAGATGACACAGGAGGAGGTTGCCCTGGCTCCCAGAGACGCTGGGGTCTTGCACACGGGTCGCGTGGGGATCATTTTCTAGAAAGGACTGGTGGGTGGGCTCGGGCTGACCTGAGAGCTTTGCACTTGAGTGTGTGTGTTATGTGTGAGTGTTTCTTCTGCATGTTCCTGTGTCTCCGGGCCTCCGTATTACACCCCGTTGCGCTGTGTGTTTGCACATCTTCCTGGGTCTCTGAGCGAGAGACCAACCCCCCTCCTCCCCATACGCTGAGCACAAGGTGCTGACAGGACCCGCAGGGTCTGGTGGAGGTGGTGAGCTCTCCCTGCTTCTGAAACTGCATTGTGAACGAGGCCCAGGCCGCTCCAGAAATCGTCCTCCAGCCCACGTGCTCCCGCTCTGCCTGGCCCACCCAATAAAGGGCTTGCCTCAAGGCCCAGACGCTGGATGGACAGAGAGGGCAGCTTTCCAGGGCCTACCGCCAGAGGAAGTGGACCGGGCAACTTGCCCTGTCCTGATGGGTGGGTGCCCTTTGGGCTCTGGACTCAGCTGTCTTCCCGAGCAGAAACAGTGCTCCTAATGCTGACTTAGCGAAGGCACGCGGAAGAGAGCGTCTGGGGTGCAGGTGACTGCCTGTGGCTGTGGGTACAATGTGTGTCTACGTGTGGGTGCGTGTGCCTTGATCTCTCCACCGGGTCTCTGGGGCCTGGGGAGGAGAATTTCAACATCTGTCAGGAATCTGGGCCCATTGCCAAGGGGTGAGTCACCCCTGGTTGCTGCCCATGCCAAAGACGGAGATAATATTTCTGTCCAGACCTGGAGGAGGGAGACTCCAGAGGGGTCATCGGGCCTAGGGATCCAAGACTCCTCCTTCCCCTGGGCAGCAGGAAGCCCCAGCTTCTCGGGCACGGCGGCCACTGTCCTGACCCAGCTGCCCGCCTGCACCGATGGGCAGGCCCGTTTCCAGCCCCTCTGCGTAACCATCCCGAGGGAGGAAGCAGGCCCGTGGCTGCCCACTGAGCCCTCAGCCTCCTGGGGACCCAGGTTGGCTCCTTTTCTCCGCAAGCCTTGACCCCTTGTGGCACCCCGTCCTGTGAGCTTGTGGTACCCTCGGGCCCTTGTTTTCTTTTCATGGCTTCACAAGTAGGCATCTAGGTGAAAAGTATTTTGTCGGCCCAGTCTCTGGCCTGCTTATCTGACTTTGATGTGGGAAATGGAGCCCCACCCACAGCTGAGAACGGGGTACGACTGCACAGGGCACCCCTGGAGGCAAAGGCACCCCCAACTCACTCAAGTGCGGACACGCACGTGTCCTTGTGTGTGACAGTGTGTGCATCACCCTGTCATGTCCGTTCCCCACTGGGATGTATGTCATGGAGGGCAGATGTATGTATACTGCTCCCCATCTCTCTGAACCCCAGGGCTGCCTGGAGTTTCTCCATGCCCTCTTTCGGTGTGGTGGTGGCTTGGGGTTTTGGGGGGTGGGGGTGCCAGGAGGTCCGGTTCTGCTCGGGTGGACTCATTGCTGACTTTGAGCCAGGCCTCGGTCTCTGAGCTTCAGTGTCCCCCCTGTGGGTTGGGGTCCACCTGGCTGCTGGGTAGCCCAGGTCAGGGTCAGAAAGCTATCCCAGAGCAGGGCCCAAGGATAAGGGACAGAAACTTGCTCCGTCCCAGGTTCCCCAAGAGCCTACCTGGGCCGCCACTGCACCCTGAGCCCAGCCGGTGCCCCGCTGCCGCTCTCTTCCAGGTGAGCCGTGCCCCGCCTCACAGCAGGAAGGACTCAGGCTGGAACACAGGAGCGACTTATCCGCCAACGTGACTGGTGAGTGCCCGTCTCAGCCTGTCCCCGCCCACGGCCATCCTGTCCCCGTCCACGGCCATCCTGGCGTAGCCGGTGACCCTCCTCCCCTGCTGTCGCCCCCAAGGCTTCAACCTCATCCGAAGACTCAGCCTCCTGAAGACATCTGCCATCAAGAAGATCCGAAACCCCAAGGGGCCGCTCATCCTGCGACTGGGGGCGGCCGCCCTCACCCAGCCCACTCGGTAACGGCCAGTGTAGCTGCTGGGAACCGGTGATCTCAGTCACACTCCCTGGCAGCCCTGGACCTGGGCCCCAGCTCGGGGCACCTGGGGGTCATTGAATTCCACCCTCTGCCAGGAGCCAACCTGGTCTCCGGCCCTGCGTGTGAAGAGGGGGAAGCTGGCCGCGCCTGGCACACCCCCATCTGTCCCTTCTTTATCTCTGACTGGCAGAGGGTGGGAACAGGACCGCATCCAACGGGCACCGGAAGGACCTGTGGCGTGGGAGCCCGGCAAGAGTAGTGTGTGTGTCCGCACGTGGGGAGTCCAGGTTCCCGCAGAGGCTGGGTGGTCGGGCCCTGCTGGCCTTCCAGGCTTATCTTCCTAAAGTCCCCTTCTGCTCTGGCTGTGCTGGACCTTCTTCATCTTAATGCAGCGTCTCCCCCCCTCCCAGGGCAGACTAGTCTCCCCAAGTCACCCTGAATTCCTGGGAAGCTCTTACCGCAGTTGAAAAGACACAGCACACTCGTCCGTCGTAGTCACGAGTGGCCTGCCCATCCCCAACCTCAAGCAGACTTGAGGGCTTCCCCAGGGCAGCCCCTTCTCTGTTTCCCACTTTTAAAAAAAATATTTTATTTATCTATGCATACAGAACTGGGGTACAGGCCAGAGGCGCAGGGGCGGTGAGAGGCTTCACCAGAGACAGAGTGGGGAGCAGAACAGGCAGATGGACGAAGCACACTGCTGAGGGGAGCAGCGGGCGGGTCAGGAGAGGTCTGCCGCGCCATGTGGGTCAGCTCCCCAGCAGGGGATCGAACTCGTGCTGAAGTGGATGTGGCAAGCTTCATGGTGCTGCGCTTTAGGCCATTGTGCCCCCAGGGAGGGCGCTGTCTCCCACTTCTGTCCCCACAGCCAAGCCCCTGTCTGTGTGTAGAGGGCTCTCAGCAGACTCCTGGAGTGCGTGTATGTGGGGGGGGGAGGGCTGGGGGGGCTGTATTCCTCCCTCCCTCCCTCAACAGCACTGAGGGCCCAGGGTGGGCGCAAGGGGGTCTCTCTAGCCTCAGGGTACCCTTCTCCCTCCCCTGCAGACGAGTATTCCCACAAGGCCTCCCCCAGGAGTTTGCCCTGGTCCTGACAATATTGCTGAAGAAACACACTCACCACAACACGTGGTATTTATTTCAAGTGACTGACGGAGACGGGTACCCACAGGTGAGCTGGAGCCCTTAGCTCTCGGAACACGAGCAGCAGCTAACCAGCCCAACTTTTGTCCCAGTTCGTGATTCCTGGGGTCTCCCCCACATCTCAAGGCTGCCCGCCCCTCCCCCAACAGCACCTCGCCCATTCTTTCAAGCCGGACAGGGACCCAGCTCTCCCCTCCTGGGAAGGGTGCTTGAGGGCCCTAAACTTTGCCCTTTCTGGCTCTGGTCATGGATTCTCTTCCTGTTGCTTCCTGCATTCCACGCAGATTTCCCTGGAAGTCAACAGCCAGGAGCGGAGCCTGGAGCTCCGGGCCCGGGGCCAAGACGGGGACTTTGTGTCCTGCATCTTTCCGGCGCCCCAGCTCTTCGACCTGCGCTGGCACAAGCTGATGCTGACCGTGGCGGGACGCGTGGCCTCCCTGAACGTGGACTGCTCCTCGGCCTCCTCCCGGCCTCTGGGGCCCCGGCGACCCCTGCGGCCCTCGGGCCATGTGTTTCTGGGCTTGGATGCGGAGCAAGGCAAGCCCGTGTCGGTGAGTGCCTCTGGCCTCTGCCCGCTCTGTGGGACTTGAGTGAGTCCCCGGCATCTGACCGGACCCTGCCTTGCTTCCCAGTGCCTTCAGATGCCGCCTACACATAGTCTGTGGGGTTCAAGGCCCCCCACGATCTGGCCCCTGTGCACGTCCATGCTGCCACCTTCCTTCGTCGCTCCATGCAGCTCTGCTGTACCAGTTACCCCCCAGGCATCCATCTCACCTGGCACATTCCCGCCTCCAAGCCTTTGCCTGTGCGGTTCCCTCCCGCTGGAATGCTTGTCCTTGCTCAGGCATCTGCTTGTCCTTCAGGGCTCGGCTGTGTTGGAAGCTCCCCCTCTGCTGACCCTCTGGGCCTCTCTGCTCCTTTCCTGACGTGCAGTTTGCTTTTGCCTTTGGTGACAGCCATATCCTCGGTCTCCCAGGCCAGGATGGAAGCCCTGAGGTCAAATTCTGGGGTGGCGCCACCTCTGTGTCTTATTGGGGGCTCGACTACAGAGCTGGACCCCTGGATAACCGAATGATACTGACTTGTGTGTCCCCGCAGTTTGACCTTCAGCAGGCACACATCTACTGTGACCCGGAACTCGTACTGGAAGAGGGCTGCTGTGAGATTTTACCAGGAGGGGTGAGTGGCCCGGTCCCAGCACAGATGGGGGCCCTGGGGCTCTGGGATGCTGGAGACAGACGCCTGCAAAGGGAATGCCTGGGAGGGGGGGCTCAGACTATGTTGGTTGGTGGGGGAGCCTACCTCTGTCCTGACCCCGGCCTTTCCCCCCCACTGGGCAGTGCCCCCCAGAGACCTCCAAGGCCCGCCGGGACACCCACAGCAATGAGCTCATCGAGATCAATCCACAGACTGCGGGCAAGGTCTACACCCGCTGCTTTTGCCTGGAGGAGCCGCGAAACAGCAAGGTGGGCAAGCGTGGTCAGGCACAAGGGAGACCACCCCCCTGTGACCTGACTGAGGTCTGCCACTGGGTCAGCTGGTCGTGTGCCTGGGGCAGGAAGGACGCTGGAAGCCACACCTGTTTGTATACTGCCCGGTAGGGAGGCTCTGGGTGAGCCTGTGCCTGCCTACTGGCATTGAGAGTTGTGCCTGTCTAGTTTTGGCACTACCCACATGCTCACTGATGCCACGCTAAAACCTTCCTGTGAGGGCAGTGCCAGTGTTGCACCCAACGGCAGTTTCTTCAGGGCAGAGATGCCTGGGGCCAGAGGCCAAAGCGCACAGCCTCCCTCTGGGCTTACCCATTCTCCCGGGCGCAGCCACGGCAATGCCAGGCTGGTTCTACACCCAGCACCATGGCCAGCTGCCCTGCCCACTCTCGGGTTCTTTAGGGGCGGCAGTAGACGCCCAGTTCCTCCCCCCAACTCCTCCTCCTGGCTGGACGGTCTCCCTGCCCACTGGGCGCTGTGCCCAGCCTTGGCTGCAGAAACACAGGGTCCCATTGATTCATGGTCTTGTTTTCTCTGACATCACGTGGGTGGGGGAAAGGAGGGGGGCTGTTTGGGTGCCAGGGGTCTGAGCAGGCTCTTGGTGCCCTGGTAGGTGCCAAATGTTAGGCTGAGGGGCACCTGGGGTCCACGCCCCTACTTGGGTCCTAGAACTGTCCCCTGAAGCATTCCCTTTGCTCACCTGCCTAGGTGGATGCCCAGCTGACAGGAAGAATCAGCCAGAAAGCAGAGCAGGGAGCAAAGGTAGGCATGGGAGGCGGGGGGGGTGTGTGTGTGTGGAGCCTGTGATGCCCTCTGTCTGCCCTCAATACACCCCTTTAATTAGACACTCTGCTCCTACGCTCTTCCTACCTGCCCCCAGACTTGGACAGCGCCAGGCTAGGTAGGTTCCAGCTCTGACAAGGGTGAGTGGGGGTGAGACACATCGTACCTGGCACTCCTAGGGCATCTTCCTAGGTTGGGGTGTCGAAGCACCCCCCCACTCCCTGCCCTTTCTCAGGCCCTTCAGGAGACAGCAGCCGAGGAGGCCAGCCTCCCGTTAAGGCTGCAAAAGAGGCCCAGTCGAGGAGGTGCCTTCACAGAAGGCTCTGTGGGCCGAGTCTGGGCGTGGGGTGCTGGGTGCCCCTGCAGCTGCCGGTGTTCTCTGGGACCTAGTGCTGGGCCCTGTCTGCCTGCTGCCTTTCTCTGGGGCGGGCACTAACCCTTGACATTGCTGCTGAGTGGGCAGCAAATGGCCCAGGCCTCGACCCCAGGCTCCTGGATTCTGGGTCTTTCTGGGCCTGGCATGCTGTGTGACCTGGCGCACGGCTACTTTGTGACTCTCTTTGGCTGTGGCTCCCGGCTGGTGAGAGTTGAGGGGAGAGGCATGTTGGTGGGGTGGGAGCGCGGACTTCACCCTCCGTCAGGCCCCTCCTAGGACATAGGTGGCGTTCTGTGTGCCTCGTGTGTTGATGGGGGACGTGGGTGGAGGAAGCTGATCCCAGACTCTCAGACTGGACCTCCTGGCCCGTTCTTCCCTTTCAGTGCCCACCCTGTGTCCACGGTGCCGGGGAGAGCAATGTGAGTGAATAGCGGGTGTGTGGGTGGGGTGGGAAAGGGGGGCTGGGAGCCTAGGGGTTGGCTTGGCAGCTTCCTGGTTGAACAAGGGGGTCTTTGTGCACTTTCACGCTGCCTGCCTGCCCAGCCCCAGAGCTGGGCTTGACCCCCCACCCCTGCCAAGCCAGGCTGCACAGAAGGAAGCCTCGAGCCCTATGATCTGGGCAATGTCAGGGTCCAGGGTGGCGTGGGGACGGGGTGGTGGCTGGCAGGACCGGGACCTGGGCTGCTGGCCCTGCTTTGCACTCCCTGCCAACACGGAGGTCCAGTCGGCTGGAGGACTTCACGCACCATGTAAGAGGCCCAAAGGGGAGGAGCAGGCTGAGGGTGACACAGCCCAGTTCTGAACCCCAAACACGTGCTGGCTTAAGGGTTCACCTCCTGTGCCTCTCTAGCCCCCTGCAGCCTCTCTCTGCAGTCCAGGAGGACCAGGGGCTCACTGTGAGCCACACTGGAACCCACCTACCTCTTTCCCATGAGCTGACATGCTGAGCTGACAGGCCCACAGTGACCACACCCAGCTCCTCTCAGCACTGATTCCCCAGCCTTGAGGGACATCTAGAAGTACCCACTTTACTGCCTGCTTCTCTTTCCATCCAGTACTCCCACAAAATCTGGTAAGGCTGATGGCCCCCAGATGCACAGGGGTTACCATGGCAACCGAGCCATCACATTACCTAGCCAAAGCCGCGCAGGTTAGAGAAGGTTGGTTAGACCTCTCTGCAAGTCTGACAACTTTAGGCTATAAAGTCAGCATCTCGTTGATGTGACCCCGGTTACCTACTTGTGCTCACTGGGCCTCTGGTTTCCTCTCCCTCCCTGAGGTATAATGTTCTCTCCTCTGTCCTCTCAGGTCACAATTGGTCCCTCTGGCCCCAAGGTGAGTCCCAGACGTAGAAGATGACACCTTTGCCCCTTTTCCTGGTCCTAGCCCATCCCTCAGCATGTGACTCCATGACTGTGGGTTTATATTGGGGCTACCGAAGCCTGTGTGTTGGCAATTAGGGGTGCATGTGTGTGTGCCTGCTGAAGAGAGTAGAGACTGGTGTGTGCATAAGAATGCCAAGACCTGCCCCTCTTGAGGCCCGGCCATGCAGGGGGCCATAGGCCACACACATGCACACTGTCACCTTCCTGAGCCCACTCACACATCCGACAGGCTGCCATCATGTTGCTTCAGGGGAAACTGAGGCTCCATGGAGCCCAGGTGTGCGGCTGGGTGTGTCAGCGGTTGTGTATGCACATGGCTCCCTGCATCTCTGGGACACGATTGTGTGTGTGCGGCCCTGCCATGGGGGGTGAACAGGCCCATGGGGGGTGTCAGGCCCACTTGCTGTGGGCCTGACAGAGCCGAGAGCAGTGAGTGACAGCAGCGCGTGCCGGGGGTGAGGCGCTGTGTGTGCCGGGGGATGGGGCAGGTTCCCCGGAGCCACTTCACACGGGCACTGACATGCCAGTCTTGTGCCCAGCACTTACCTGCAAGCATCACATTTCTTCCTCATCACCACACCCCTAGAGGTAGGTGCTGCCACGAGCCCCATTTTATTGACGGAGAAACCGAGGCTCCCGGGAGCCCCATGACTTGCCTGGGGCCGCGTGCGAGTCAGCGGTGGGGACAGGGCTTGAACTCAGGCAACCAGTACTGGCGTCTCGGGTCTGTGCGTGGTGTCGTGGGCCCCATGTGCAGGGGAGAGTGGCGCGCTCGGGCGGGGTGGGGGGAGGACATCCCCTCTGCTGAGACCACAGCCTCTGGGGCAGGTGTGGATGATGCCCTGGCTGTGTGCGGGGCACATGCCTGGTGTGTGGGTGTGTGTGCATTTGCACACCCATGTGCGGGGCGGGGCAAGATCAGATTGGGGGTGCTTCCTCCAGACTCCCGCAGGCCCCTCAGTTCCAAGCCCCCTTTTGGTCTCATCCACAGGGAGGGAAAGGCGAGCGGGGTGTGCCCGGCCCATCAGGCCCCAAGGGAGAGAAGGGAGCCCGGGTAAGTGCCCCAGCCCTGCCCGCTGCCCCACCTCACCCCTTCCCCTCAGCTGGAAACCTGCAGCCTGGCCCAGGGAGGGGGTGGGGGCCAGTGTGTGAAGCCTCTGTGTTCTAAGGGCACCGGGACTGTGGGATCCCTGGGCCCAGCCCTGATCCCTTGTTCCTAACCGCAGGGCAGCGACTGTGTCCGCATCTCCCCAGACGCCCCACTTCAGGTAAGGCCTGGAGGTCGGCCTGCTTCCGGACTGATGTGGGGTCAGCCCTAGGGAAGCCCATGGGGTGACCCTGGCCCCGTCTCAACACCTTATTTCCCTGCTCAGTGTGCAGAAGGCCCGAAGGGAGAGAAGGGGGAGTCAGGAGCCTCGGTGAGTGGGGTCCAGGGAGCGGGCACGGGAAGTGGGGTCCTGGCCCAGCCTCACCCTCCTTTCCTTGCCCTCCCTCTGTGTCCCCTCATCTCAGGGGCCGTCAGGACTCCCAGGCTCCACCGGCCAGAAGGTAATGGGCCTGGACTGGGAGCGACGGGTCCGGGAGGGACAGGCGGAGGGAGGGGCCTGACACCACCCCAGGGTGGTGCCACCAGGGCACAGGCCCCTCTGAAGCCTTGTTCACATTCCCTCCAGACCTAGAGGGGTGCCTTAGGCTCCCCGAGTGAGTGCTCGGAGTGGGTGGGAGAGCCTTCCTACCTCTTGCCACCTTCTCATGGTGACTGAAGTCACTTGGTCTTTGGGGCGGCAGAGACCACAGTGTCTCGCCCAGCTGGGGGTTCCGGTTCTTCCAGCCTGTTTCCTCCCTCCAGTCGCCCTGTCTCTTTCTTCCCCAGGGCCAGAAAGGCGAGAGGGGAGAAGGAGGCATCACGGGCTCGCCAGGAAAGCCAGGCCGAGATGTATGGGTGCCGGGACCTTCCCACTGAACCCCCACACCCCCAGCATAGGGCCGTGAGGTGCTAGATATCAACCAGCAGAAGCTGACCTGCTGCTCTTGCTCAGGCTGGAGAACAGAGATCGGGATGGGGGCCGGGGCTCCAGGAGGCACAGAAAAGACCCAGTCTCAAGCCTCCTGACACCCAGCCCCAAAGCACCCCCTCCCCTGCGACTCTGAGGTTGACCTTGGAGCCCTGGGCTGGCATCTACTTTGGGGAGGGGAGTGTGGGTGGGCAGGTGGGTGTTGGCCAGTCCCAGTGGGGACTGCTTTCCTCAGGCTGTTCTTACACCCTCACCCTACCCCACAGGGACGGCCAGGAGAGATCTGTGTTATGGGACCCAAAGGGCAGAAGGTGAGTTGTGGGTGTCTGTAGAGTAGAATGTGGATGGTGGGGCTGGATGTCAGCTTTCTCACACCCACTTCATGTCTGTGCCAGGGTGACCCTGGCTTTGTTGGGCCCGAGGGACTGGCAGGAGAGCCTGGGCCCCCCGGCCCTCCTGGGCTCCCTGGGATTGGGCTGCCTGGGACCCCGGTGAGTACTTCTTGCCCTTCTGCTATCTCTCCCTCAGAGACCCTTCTCCCGCCCCATCAGTGGTGGGTCAGTGAGGCTCCTTGCAGGGCTTCTATTTGCCGGAAGGGGCTTGAGTAGATCATACTGTAATGTAAAGTCCCCGGGGAGCTGCCACCTGACCATGCTTCTGCCCTCAGGGAGATCCAGGTGGCCCACCAGGCCCTAAGGGAGCCAAGGTAAGCAAGGCAGGCGTGTGGGCCTGGGGGGCTCCCTGCTCAGTGGGAGGAGAGAGGGAATGAGGAGGGGTGGCAGGCATGTGGAGAGAGGGCGGGGGAGGGCCAGCTTTGGGCTGAGGAGATTGGGTCTGCTCAGCTGGGCCCCTTGTTGGGAAGTGCCCATTCCAGGGCGGGCTGATGTGGGAGTCTTGGCCTGAGTTCCAGGCGTGGCGGTGGACGGGCCTAAGTCTGGTAACAAACACAGAGGCCTTAACGGGGGCCCAAGCTCTCTTAATGCCACAATGAGCAGAAAGCCTTGCAAATGTCCATCTGTGTGCTCTGACTCTTCTGGGGTCACCCAAACCATCTCCCCACCCACTGCACCAGGGAAGGGAGACCCAGAAGCTATATCTTCTCCCTTCCTTGGTGACCAGAAGGACTTAAGCTAGCCATGAAGAAGGACAGGTGACCGGAAGGGAATGTTTGTTGAACAAACAGATCAAAAGGAAATGGGAGATTCAGCAGAGATTGTCCTGCTACCCAGAGAGGGGACTGGATGGGCCCAGGGTAGATGGGCCGAGGTCAGGGCCAGGAGCCTGCTCTTTAACCCTTCTTCTGGCCACAGGGCAGTTCTGGGATGCCGGGAAAGGAAGGTCCTGGCGGGAAACCGGTGAGTGGCCCCAGTTTGGTAGGGGTGTCGCTACCAAGGACTCCAGAGCGAAGGGGCTGGTCCCAGGGCTCTCTGTTGGCAAGTCTGGCTCTAACACTGCTTCTCCAACAGGGCAAGCCCGGCGTGCCAGGGCTGAAAGGCGAGAAGGTGAGTGTCCAGCATCGGGCGCAGATGGGAGTGGGAACCCGTCTCTGAAGATGACACTGCGCATCCAGGACCCTGGCCCTGGGATGCTCAGTCCGGGGGAACCCTACCTCTTTGTTCCCACAGTGTGTGTGTGATGATACAATAAAGATCCCAGCTTAGGAATGAAACACCTGGGTTCCAACCCGCCTCTGCCACACACGTGATTATGAATGTGGCAAGAAATCAACTAGCTCTGTCTTCATCCAAGTTTCCACATCTGTAAATGGCACTCGATAATTTCTTAAGGTGTTAGGCTGGTTGTGAGGGTGTAGCTTTGTGGTGTGCAGGAACTGTTGAATGAACTGACCAGTCTGCTGACCAGGAAGCTCTTCCCATGTTCCTGATGTCCGGGGTCAGGGCACTGGCCTAGCTACTGTCCCGAGCAGGGTGAGCAGGAGGCTCCTTGCCCTCCCCAGCATCTGGGCCCTATCCAGTCCACTCATGATCTCTCCCTTCTGCCAGGGTGACCCCTGTGAAGTGTGTCCGACACTGCCTGAGGGGTTCCAGAACTTGCTGGGGCTCCCTGGAAAGCCAGGGCCCAAGGGGGAGCCTGGTGATCCTGCACCAGCCAGGGTGAGTGCTCTCTCAAAACCTAGGGACATGGCCTTGGAGAGGAGCTGGGCATAGGGACTGGCCACGTCTGACAGTCATAGAGATTAAGGGCTCAAGGGCCAGGCTCCCAGCTTACTGGGTCAGGGAGTGAACCATAGAGTTCAGGGCTAAGCTAGAAGATCACCCTGAGGTCTCCATGGCAACCCCACAGAGTATGTGATGAGGTTCCAGGATGCCTTTTGGGCAGGCTGGGTGGAGCCAACCCTTATAGTGAGGGGCCTGTGCCCTCTTCCTGGGAGTGGGTGTTGGTTGGGGCGGAGCAAGGGAGTGGGTGGAGCTGGGTTAGGGCCCTGGCCGGGACTCCCAGCTCGCTCAGCTCCCTCACAGACCCTTTCTTCCAGGAGGGCCTGGGAGCTGTTGGACCAAAAGGTGATCGGGTACGTTCAGGAACTTTCTGGTGGGGTAACTCAGCTTGGCTAAGTTTCTTTTTCTGTTGCATGGGTTGATGAGCCCTGGCTCTGTGGTGACGGCCTTGAGCCTCACAGGACCAAGGGTGTTGCAAAGGTTTGTGGTGTGTGACACTGTTGTCCTCATATATGAGTAGGAAGTCTGCGGTACCCCAGTATATCGAGTCCGAACCCCTAGCTTTTCTCCCTGCAGGGGGACCCTGGCATTCAAGGCCTCAAAGGAGAGAAGGTAAGAGGCACCTAGTCTCCTCGCCTCCCTAGCTGACTGCTGGGACCCTTTCTGACCCCTCCTTCCTTCCCCAGGGGGAGTCCTGCTTGTCCTGCAGACCCGTTGGGGAGGCTCACGGGCTCTCTACAGTCGGCCCGCCTGCCTTGGGTCTGCCTGGCCTTCCGGTGAGTGACTGTCCTCCTTGCCCAGCCCGGTCTGACCCATCCTTGCCACACTGGTGGCCTTCCTGGCTCAAGGCTGACAACAGGAGGGAAGCCCCTGGCAAGTGTACCAGCCTGTGCCTCCTACCCCTCCCCTGCCGCCGGGGTCACATGCCCTAGTTGGCGCCTAGTGGGATGGCAGTTCCCTGCCCGCTGCCTGCAGTGTGTGGGGCTCAGCATCCCAGGCTTGTCGCCCTGTTATGAGTGGGCACCAGGCCCCCTGGATCGTGGAGGGGCGGGATGAGGAGATGCTTAACTGCCTCTGATTGCTTTTCAGGGGAGAACCGGGGCTCCAGGGCTGAAAGGCGAGAAGGTGAGACCCCTTGTCAGGGATTCAGGGCTCCGGGCAGCAGAATGGGGGCCCACGTGGGGAATAGGCCAATTTGGACAGGAGATCGAACTTAATCCACAGTGATGAGCGCATCGGTGTTTCCAGACTGCAGTCCAAGAACTTGCTTCTGAGGGCTGCCGAGAGAATTCCCGAGTGTTGCACTTTTAACTTATTGACTACCTAAAACAACGAAGCACTTTGAAGACTTTTACAGTAAAATGCTGCCTGGCCCTTCTTGGCCACGTATGTGCCAGGCACCGTTCCCAGTGCTTGGGCTTGTGTTGCCTTGTGTCCCCGTCCCCGCACCGCGGGGTAGGTGCTCCGTTACCCTGCCTCAGACGAGGAGGGAGGCCTGAAAGCCAGACCCATCGCCCACGGCCAGCCTGGCGCTTGGCTGCAGAGCCGGGGCTTGGGCCGGGAAGTCTGGCTCCAGACTCAGTGGCCGTCACCTTGGTCACTCCGCTTCAGCGCCCTTATTACCGTTTCTGTTTGATGGCCATGGAGACCAATGACAGCATTGAACTTGGCATCCGGTGCCACCACGTGAGGGCTCTGTGGGTGTCCGAGCAGTCACATGAGAGAAACATGGAAACCTGTGTTCAGATCAGCCCAGAGTGTTTGCACCCCCGCCCCACCCCCACCTCTCAGCGTTCCCCATCTCTGAGATGGCTTACCAGCACCTCCTCAAACCCCGACACCGAGGGCACCCTGCTGCCTCCCTTCCCCAAGGCATCTCCTGCAGCTGCCAGTTCTTCCAGGAGCACCTCTGTCCTCCCCTGCATCCCCCCACCACCATCTCCTCGTCCTGGGTCTCGGTCCCTGTCACCTTTTACCTGGACGGTGGTGCAGCCCCATGGCCAGCCTGCCTGCAGCCACCGCAACTCCCGAAGGCTCCATTTGTGATTCAGTGACTCACGTGACTTTGTAAAAAGGCCTCCGAGAATGTTCTCTCCCTGCCTGGACCCTCCTGTGGCGCCTGTGAGGCCTAACTAGACCCCGCCCTGCCTGCGCTCAGGTACAGCAGGCTCCTCCTGCTGCTGTTGGCTGTGCCTGAGATACAGCCCACCTTCCGTCTGGAAACTGGGGAGACTGTCCCCACCTCTTAGATGTTGCACCTGTGCTCCCACTGTCCAGAACAGTCTCCCGCCCCGTCTTCTCTGCTGACCTCACTCCCGTCTTTCTGATGGTCCTTGTGGCTGACACTTCTCTGACTACTCTAGAATGGGCTTCCATCAACGTTGTCCCAACCCCTAATTTATTTCCCTCCCAGCATTCATCACTACTTACAGTGACTATCGTTTAAATCATTCTTGTGCCCTACAAGCATGTAAGCCGCGTGCTTCGCACGGCGCCTTGTCCGCGGCCTGGGGCGGCGTCTGGGGAACCAGTGCGGGATAAGCAGTCTTCATCCCTCATCTTCATGCGCTGGGTTGGGGCTGGGAGTCCGTGAGGACTCACGCCTCCCCTGGAGACCTTGGAGAAAGCCCGTCCTCTCTGGGCCTCTGTTTTCCTGGTCAGGAAATGGGGGCGGGCGGCTGGGCAGTGATCTGAAGTTCCCAGCAGGCTACTGGGGGTCGAGGCCCGGGCTCTGCACCTGCCCACGCTGAGCCTGCCTCTCTGTTTTCCTCAGGGTACCCTCGGGGAGGCGGGGCCAGTTGGAAGTCCGGTAAGTTTGCTTTGGGTGGCCTCGGCTCTGCAGGACGGACTGGTGGGGGTCGGCCTGGCCTGTGCTTCCTGGGGTGCAGGCAGATGCTGGGCATCATCCGTGGCTTTTTATCCCCCAGGGACTGCCAGGGCCAGTGGGACCAGCAGGCATCAAAGGGGAGAAGGTGAGTGAGGACATTGTCCACGCTGGAGCCAGCCCCACCCCATGCACACCTAGCCCTCTACATTGAACCTCCTGAGGGGCCTGTGCGTAACAGGTCCATGACTTGCCCCCCCACCTTCATTCCTAGTGTCCCCCCACCCCCTTGAGCAGCAGACGTGCCACGCCAGGCCGGGCTATATCAGGCCTGGCTATGTCCCCGGCGCCAGGGTCCAGACTGCCCCGGGACCCCAACCCTATGCCCTTGCTTCACAGGGGGAGTCTTGTGAGCCCTGTCTAGCCCTGCCCATGTCTCAGGACGGGGATGGCCGCTTGGTGGCCTTGCCTGGCCCTCCCGGGCAGAAGGGAGAGCCTGGGCCTCCAGGTTTCGGCCTGCCAGGAAAACAGGTGAGTTCTGGGGCCTCTGCAGGTGGGTGCAGGCAAGCAAAAGAGGGCCGAGGGACCCTACCCGGTTGTCTTGATTCCTGGGCGGCTGGGAGTGTGTGCGGGGCTCAGTAGGCACCAACCTGGGCCCAGCCAGAGGGAACTTCAGTGTTCCTCCAGTACTGACTGGCGCCAGCAAGTTGCTTCCCCCACCCCCTGCCTGTTTCCTGTGCGTGGTGGTGTTGGAAAGCCGGTGATGGTGTGGGAGGAACATGGAGCAGTGCCAAGAGGCCTTCAGAACGATGGCTACGCGGCGGGGTTATCATGGGACTGCTGCGGCACCCACAGAGTGTAGGCCCTGTCAGGCCCTGCTGCACATATGCTAGCTCCTCTTACCTCAAAAATGCCCCTTCGGGGTAGTGCCTGTGCTGTTTCTATCACCCGCACTTAACAGATATGGACACTGAGGCACAGAAAGGCTACGGAGCCGGCCCGTGGTCACCGGGGCGGGAGTCAAGTCTCTGCTGTTAATCTCACAATATTGCTTCACTGGGATGAGTGTGGAGATTTTGGGCGATTTTGTGTCCTGCCGTATCCCCTGGGTCCAGCACAGCGGCAGACACCGGGGGTGTGCGGTAGGCGTGGGCAGGCCTGGAAATGCTTTCTCCTCAGGGCAAGGCTGGAGAGCGTGGACTGAAGGGGCAGAAGGTGAGAGAATCTCGGGGCTTCTCAGGCGGGCTCACCACTCCCTCCCCTCACTTCCTTGGCCCCACGCCCACTCTCTGTCCACCCCCAGCCCCTGCCCCTGCGGAGTGCCTGGGGGTGCTGGAGGCAACTTGCCCCCAGCTGGACCACCTCAGCCCCCGTGACCCCTACTCCTTACAGGGTGACGCCGGCAATCCCGGAGATCCTGGAACACCAGGCACCGTGGGGCAGCCGGGACTGTCGGGCGAGCCTGGGGTTCGGGGCCCTGTGGGGCCAAAAGGAGAAAAGGTCAGTCATGCGGGGGTCAGTTTATTATTTGAGCACAAAGAAATCAGGCTGGGAGCTGATGAGTGAAAGGACTTCGGGTCAGGCTGAGCCGCATCACTGCGGGGAGCAGGGAGGGAGGACGGCTGGGAGTGGCAGGGGCCTTTTGGGTTGCCCCAGGCTGAGGGGAAGCAGAGCTCTCCCAAGGGTTCCCGGGCTGGCTGTCAGGCTGGCTCACCAGCCCTGACGGTGGGTCTCTCCTCAGGGCGATGGCTGCACTGCCTGCCCCAGCCTGCAGGGGGCGCCAGCCGACATGGTGGGATTGCCTGGGAAGCCTGGCCCCAAAGGAGAGCCTGGTCCTGAAGGTGTGGGCCGGCCTGGTAAACACGTGAGTTCCTCCTGCCTGTCCCCTGGCCCTTCCCTACCTGGGCTTTGCCTTCTTTCCTGCCTCTGCCCTTGTGGGGCCATGGGCCACCTTTTGTCTTTTAGGGTCAGCCAGGGCTACCGGGAGTTCAAGGGCCCCCAGGACTGAAGGGTGTACAGGTATGTGTGAGTTGAGGGGGGACTAAGCTGCAGGTTTGTGTGGGCGAGAGTGGGGGATGAGGAGACCTATGGGGGCAGTGGATCTGGAGCGGGGACCCCCGCTATAGAGCTGGGAGAAAGCAGAGGTGGAGGAGGAGGAAGCGGGTCTGGGAAAGAGGGGAAGGGCGATTGAGAAATCTCAGGCCGAGAATGGTCCTTGAACTCTGTCTCTTCAGGGAGAGCCTGGACCTCCAGGAACGGGAGTCCAGGGCCCCCAGGTGAGTCTCCAGCCTCACCTTTGCCTGCCCCCTGACACTCCCATTCACCAGCCCACCTACTCCCATTTGCCCCTCAAACAAAAGCGCTCTGCCTGCCCCCCAAGGCTCATGGGCACAGCTGTAGCTGAAGGAATTGGGCCACAGCCCTGATCTGTTGTTGCTCTTATTGCTTCTGACTTGGCTCTGACCTCTCACCCTCAGGGTTTTCTTGGAAACCTCTCCTGAGTTTGGGCTGGCAGACAGTGCCCCCAGACCCGGTCTGCCCATGGGTTGGGTGCAGGGCAGCTTGGCTTGGGAGCTGTGGTTCAGGCTGCCTTCTCTGACTTTCAGGGAGAGCCTGGGGCCCCGGGTTTGCCTGGCACCCAGGTACGTCTGCCTTGGGCCTGGAGGAAGGGGAGGGCCACTCCAGGAGGGAGATGTCTAACTGCTTCTGTCCGCAGGGGCTTCTGGGACCTCGAGGACCGCCTGGCCCCACTGGAGAGAAGGGTGCCAAGGTGAGCGTCTGCCTCCTGAGGTGCTGGGCCTGCAGTACTCTGGAGCCCCTGGCCGGGGGCACAGTAGGAGCCTAGTGATGCCTGCCAGGGCTGCCCTGACTGATGCAGCTCACCTGTTGGATTACCCTGGAGCCTTTGTACCCCCTCTTTACAGGGATCTTCAGGTGTGAAAGGAGCCATTGGACCTATGGGGCCTGCTGGTGTCTCTGGGCCTCCGGTAAGGGCCTCTCTGTGCTCATGTTGGGACCAAAGTTAGCTCGGAAAGAGGGCTCATCCCAGCAGCCTGGCAGTGTGAAGAGAGGGGCCTCGGGCAGGCCCAGCCTTGGGAAAGGAAGACTGCGCTTTTGGGGGGAGCATTTTAGCACAGGGTCAGTTTAGTGACTGCTCACAAGGTAGCAGCGCTCGGGATTATCATAACATCTGAATAATGATGACACCTATTGTGACCATGATGCCGGTCATCCTGTGTCCAGCAGTGACCTAGCTAAGGCTCGGTGCTATTCACTGATTCTCCACAGCAGCCCGACAAGGGAATGACTGGGTTGTTCCCATTTCATAGAGAAGGAAACTGAAGGCCAGAGAGGGAGGCGACAGAGTCAGGACTTGAACCCAGGTCTGTCCGACTCAACACCCCTAAGCCCATGTTAACTCCCCACCTGGCAGGGTCATCTAAACCAGAGCTGCCGGGCACACTAGCCAGTGTGCTGGACATGCCTGCCCTGTGCTGTCCCCGACAGGAAGGGGCAGGTGGCCCCAGTGGGAAGGTGGCAGGCCCCATTCCCTCACAGCTAGTAGCTGTGTGTGGGAACTACCCAGTATAGCTGAAGATTTATGCACATTTAAAATTTCGTTTAATTTTAATTCACTTACACGCGGCTGGTGGCCACCATCCCTGGACAGCACCCGTCTCTCCAGACCAGCAGACCCTCCAGCCTCATTCCCCTCTGAGACCTCCCTTTTATTACTCCCCACCAGTGAGTCCCGCTTCAAAAGATGTGTCTATTGAGCAAATTGCACAGATTAAGAAATAATAAATGCATCTTTTCATTTTCCTTCATCAAAGGCTGTATAATATAATAGTCAGCGTCTACTCCACATGAACCCATAGAACCTTACAAGATGATCGAATTCCAGCCTGCAGCAGGAAATGCCGCCTCTCAGCCAGTCTTAGGCAAATGTGTAATTTGTCTTGGGCTTTTTGTGGTGCTGAGAGGAGCCTGGTAAATGGGTGCACACCTGCCTTTGTGACCCTCTAGAGAAACTCCAGCTCCAGTTTGGGGTCCCCAATGAGTTCCTTTGAGAATTCATGAAAACTGGAGGGGCCAAGGACTTCCAAGGGCCCACCCACCCCTCTGTGTCCAGCAGAGCCGGACAGTCTGGGTCCCTGCCTATCTCGAGGGGCCCTAGGGTGAAGCATAGGTGAAGGTGAAGGTGGTTCTGGTCCTCCAAGGCTTGGGTCCCCGTGGGAGGGCAGCTGACGGCGTGCCCCTGTGCAGCCAGCCCGGCCTTCCCGACCTCCCCCTCCAGCTGAGTCCCAAGGGGAGTGGGGGGGCTCCCTCCCCCAGCCCCACTCTGTGCAACTTGTGTGACCCCAGCCAGAGTTCCCGACTCCTTGTTGACAAAATAGGGCCTGGTTTGTGTTTCCCATTTGGTGAACTGAGTTTGCGATCGAGAGGTGTGGCCTGCGCTCATGGGGCGGGGCCGGGCGCACCTGGCTGCAGGTGCGCTGTTGGGTCTACTACTACAGAATCTCTTCAGGCCTCATCTTTGAAGCAGCACAGTGTGCCCTGTGGAGCTGGGAGCAGGGGTCGCATTCGGGGCCCTCGGACAGGCCCCCGCTTGGCGACTGACACCCCAGGGGCTGAGGAGATGCCAGCCTTCTCCCCCCCTCCTCACTCCTGTGCCCGGCTGCTGTAGACAGTGGGCACTGGGTCCAGGCTTGTGTGTCCAACTGCCTTTCCCCTTGGGTCGGGGCAGATGGTTGCTGCTGCCCCATGTTGTCCACTGAGCCCAGCTTTCTCCCTGCAGGGTGCTGACGGGCAGCAAGGACAGGCCGGACTTCCAGGAGCCAGAGGGATGCCAGTGAGTGTCTTGGGGCCTCAGGAAGCCACAGCTGGCCCTGCCCCCTCACCCCTGTCTACTCACCTCCCTGTGTTTCTTCCCCCCAGGGTGAAAAGGGAGCCCAGGGGGAGAAGGTGAGTCCTCCCCAGGTCTGGCCAATACTCTGGGGATATTAGCAGCCCTCTTAGGCCTGCTGGCCTGGGAGCCTGCACCTTGGGGCCCCTGAGCTACAGGAAGGGAACTGAGGTGCCCTCGTGTTGGTTGCCGGCCACCCACCTGCCCCCTGGCCCCAGAAGGCAGGGGCTCCGGACACATTGCATTTGGCCCAGCTGCTGGCCCAGGGCTCCACCCCGATCCCAGGAGGCTCCAAGTCCTCCTTGGGGAGCAGCTGCGTTTTCAAGTGGGGCCCGAGGCAGAGGACAGGCCAGCAACTGGCTTGGGGAGGACTGTGGGGAAGGGCAAGCTGCGAGGGCCTGGCAGAGAAGGGCGAGGGGACTGAGGCTGCGGCCAGTGGCTCTAGGCTGCCCTAGACTCCCTGGGCAGCAGCGGCCACGACGAAACCGAAGCAACAGTGGCGGTGCTCGATTGCTGAGTGCTTGTGGCGCTCAGGAGCTGTGTCCAGCCAGCCCCACCTCGCAGCAGCCTGCCTGTTTGATGTTATCCCCCGATTTACAGAGGAGGAGACGGGTTCTGGGAGGGGGTGGCCCCATCACTGGAGGCAGACCCTAGACCTGACCCTGCCTCTTCCTGAGAGCCTGGCTGCCTCCCGCGCAGCCCTTGCCCCGCTGAGAAAGGCTCTTGTCATTGCAGGGCGAGCCAGGGGAGTGCTCCTGCCCCTCTCGAGGAGACCCAGTCTTCTCTGGCATGCCGGTAAGTTGTGCCGAGAGTCTTGCCCCCGCTGAAGGCGAGGCCCAGCTTCCTGTCTCGTGCCCAGTGTGCCAGGGCCCCTGCAGGGCTTTGTGCCTGGCCGCTGCCTCCCCACGCAGCCCTGCGCTTGGTGTGGACGTTGCCTATAACCTCTCCCCTTCTTTTGCGACCCCCACCCCCACCCAGGGTGCTCCGGGACTTTGGATGGCCAGCTCCTGGCAGCCAGGCCCGCAGGTGTGTGTCGCTTGTCTCCTCTGTCTCTCCTCTTGTCTGCCAGCACCCCAAGGCTTGCCCCCCCCAGCTCCACCGCTCCCGGGACGGGGTCTGATGATGTCTTCTGTCCCTCAGGGTCCCCCCGGTGTTCCTGGACCACCAGGCCCCCCCGGAATGCCGGGGCTGCAGGTACAGGAGGGCGAGTGAGACAGTTGGGAGGCGCGATGTTGGGGCTCTTGCTCCCACTCTGTGCTGGGCCCCAGAGGCAGGACCCCTCCCAGCATCATGCCACTTCTCTCTCCTTTGTGCTTCCGCTTTGTGGAGAGCGGCAGAGATCCCCTGGTCCATGGCGCAGGTCCATGGCGCCTGCCCCGCCCTTCCTTGGGGAAAGTACTGTTGTGCGCCAGCCAGCACCTATGACCCCATGCCCTGCTCAGCCATGGTCAGCTGTCAGGAACCCAGAACCGGGGTCTCATAAAGCCCAACAAAATGTTGTGCCAGGCTCCATCCTTTTGGAGCAGCATTCCACACCCATTCCTGCAACAGCTATTTTTGTATGTCTGCTGTTCACCAGGCTCTGTTTTAGGTGCTGGTGATGCAGCAGAGGATGAAAGTAAAAATCCCTACCACCCTGGTGCTTGCAATCTAGTAGGAGAGACATCATAAGAAGGATAAATATGTTCAAAAGTGACATGTGCTAAGCAGGAAGCTAAATATAGCAGGGTATGGGGATAGAAAATGGGAGGAGGCAGGAGAGACATTGAGCACGGTGTTGAAAGAAGATGGCATCTGAATCAAGACCCAAAGGCAGTGAGGAGTGAGCCTGGGAGCAGGCAGTCCCAGCAGAGAGCCACGGGTGCAAAGGCCCAGAGGTGCCCGGAGGTGGGAGTGAGCCCGGCATGCCAGGGAAAGGAAGCCGCCCGAGGTGGGAAGGGAAGCGCCGTAGAGTGAGGGCCTGGAGTGTGCCTGGCGTTGCATCCCAGGTCCGCTGTGCACGAGCTGTGTGACGCTGGGCAAATCACTTGCCTACTCTGTGTCTCCATTTCTTCATCTGTTAAGTGGAGATAATTATAGTGCCACCTCATAGGGCTTTTGTTTGTTTTATTTTCTTCTTCAAAAATTTATTTATTTATGCACACAGAACTGGGGTACAGGCCAGAGGTGCAGGGGCAGTGAGAGGATTTACCAGAGACAGAGTGGGGAGCAGAACAGGCAGACTGACAAAGTACACTGGTGAGGGGAGCAGCGGGCGGGTAAGGAGAGAGAGGTCTGCTGCGCCATGTGGGTCACCTCCCTGGCCGGGGATCGAACTCGCACTGAAGTGGCCTCAGCCACCTTCGCAGTGCTGAACTCTAACCTACTGCGCCACCAGGGAGGGCCTCATAGGGCTTTTGTGTTAAACAAGTACATGCGTTCAACCCACTGAGCGTGATCCTGGCTTGTGGTCAGTGCTGGGATGGCCTTCACTGTCGTGATGACCACGCTGTTGTATTTCCCATGCATTCTCACCTTTGTTTGAGCTTTTCACTAAATCCACTGAGAAAGCGGTGAGATCCCACAGTTACAAAGTCTGAGAAGTGAGTTACCTTTTCTGAGGTCATCCAGCTGGGCCTTGGCAGGGTCTTCAGGGACTTTCCTTTGGGGAAGCCCTCAGGACAGGTCTCCCATGGTTTGCATACCAGACCTCATTTTCTAGAGGCCCCAGGAGACACAGATGGTGGCCTCTCTGCCTGTCCTAGTCCCTAAGGAGCGATTCCCACCTGAAGGAATAGTCCAGTCACATGAAGCCTTTTACAAATGACCACCCATCACCCATTCTGATGACTGTATTCAGCCTGGCCTGAGAATCTGCTCTGGTGAGCCCCACGGCTGCTGAGGTCTCTGCTGGGCCTCCCATTCTCTGCCACCAGCCTCAGGACCAGAGCCATCTCCCAGCCCCCAGGCCGGCCACGATGACCAGTGCGCCACCGTCTGCTGCCTGGCTAGGAAACAGGGCCTGCCTGCAGGAGGCGTGCCGTTTCCAGGGGCATGGGTCTCTTCCAAGTGACCCACTCCCAAGCACACACTACGTGCCATCAACCCTGCCGAGGCCTGTGGGGGAAGGAGGCAGAAAAGAGCAACAATGACAGCTCAGTCTGGGCCCAGGCCCCAGCGGCTTCACGCTGCCAGTGCTGGATTCACAGCCGAGGCGGTGCTGGGGCACCTGCCCCAGGACGGGTGGTGTGGTGCCCCCGCCAGGTGGGCATCTGCAGTCCTTTCAAGGACGGGAGAGGTCAGGGCCGCCTCGCTTCGAGAGCAGGAACAGGCTTAGAAATGCACAGAGTTTACTTGCCCAAGTGTGATCTCATGTAAGCTACATCCACTTCACAGAAGAAGAAACAGAGGCACAGGGGTTAACATCTGTCTCAGGGAGCTTCTAGCTAGTGGATACCTCCACTTCTACAGTGGAGCAACAGGTGGGACTTAGTGCTGGGAAGGTAGGAAAAGAAAACCACAGTGTAGCAGGCTTGAACTAACAGCACGGGAGAGTGGAGCAGGGGGTGAATGATAATTTAAGGGCATAATTACAATTAACATGTTCAAGGTGTTTTCTCTGCTCTGGATGCTGTTGTAAGCACTTTAGCCTATTAACTCACTTAAGACACAGAATGAGCGGGACTGGCTAATGTGCATGGGGCGGGGGTGTGTGCAGGGAGGGGGCAGGGCAGGGGGAGGGGGAAGCTGACTCCAGGTCTCTCTGGGGCCCCGCAGAACCTGACCTGAAATCGACTGACTGGCGGGGGCCAGGGTGTCAAGGGAGGCCAGCTCTCTGTGCAGGCCGGGGGTGAGCAGTCGTGCATTCACTCAACCCGTGCTGAAGACAAGCCTCCTCCATGTCAGGCACTGGGTGTTTAAATGGGACCCATTCCTGCCTCCCTGGAGGGGTTCATGTGCCCATGTACGCTGTGGGTCTGCAAGGGGATCGGAGTCTATGGCAGATGTTTCTGGTAGGCATCCGAGCCTCCCCGCAAACAACCCCTGTTTCATAGAGATGGAAACTGAAGCACAGTCCCCCTCGCCACACACACGCACCCCATAACCCACCCAACATTGCACAGGGAGTGGAACTTGCACCGGCTAGGCCAGCTCCCACACCTCAGGCTTTGCTGTTAAACAGCGCTCAGGGGCTAAAAGGTGAGGGCTAAAGGGAGCTTGGAAACCAGGGTCCTCACTCTGAGCTTCCCCTCTGCCCTGCTCCTCCAGTGACCTTTGACAAGGTGCTTATGCTCTCTGGGTTCTTTTTCCTCTTTTAAGATGGACACCAAGCGCCCCAAGATAACAGGTGATACATGAGGAAGTCAGCAACAATGCTTAGCACAGACGCAGGGGTCACTTGGTGGAGCTCTCTGCCCACTTTCTGGCCTTTCCCTAACATGTGTTGTGGGGGTGAGGGGAGAGGGCAGGAACGCCCCTGGGCCTCTTCAGCTTCCCCTAGCTAAGACGAGACAGCCTTGTGCCACCAGGCCTTGGGTCTGCAAGGTAAGGGGAAGAGCCAGTGGGATGATGAGGAGAAAGCAGGGTGACCTGAGACCAGAGAGAGGGCCCCACTCACTTGTGTCTCTTGCTGACTGCAGGGCGTGCCTGGGAACAACGGTCTGCCCGGTCAGCCTGGGCTGGAGGTGGTAGGTACCAGGCGGACTCGCCATGCAGCCCCCCCACCCCCCCTTGCCCGCTCCCTTAGCTGCAGCTGGGGGTCCCTCTTCTTTCCCTCTCCCTAGGTTAGAAGCCCCGGGTGGCATGTGATTTCCCAAGTTTCCACCCAATGCCTTAAATCTTCACCCCTTCTGCCCCCCCACCTGAACCCCTACTTTTGTCTCTTGCAGGGATCCTTACCGATTGAAAGGCATCTGCTTCAGGTAAGGCCCTGGCTGGGCATCTCCCAAGGGGTCCTCTGTGCTCGGCCCCGCACCGAGAGGGCAGCCAGTGGAGCTCTGTGGGACGAGCAAGTGTCCGAGAGCATCTAGCATGGTGCCTGGCTCAAGATAGAACCTCAGCCAGTATCTGCTGCCTGGACCCCACATTCATTTGGAATGAATGTCTCACTCACTGGATGACTGTAGGACTCCTGCGAAGGCACCTGGGTGCTGACACTGTGGGTCTTCCAACCTGGAGTCCTGCCCGCAGCTACCAACCTCGCCCCAACCAGCCTCACCTGGGCCGGGCCCAGCAGCTTCTCAGGCAGAGTGGGGAGGGGGCCGCGGAGCTGACGTTCTGTGATGACACAGGAGGGCAGGTGGAGGGCTGCCGTTGTCCTCTGACCAGTCCAGACAGAACCCAGCAGGAAGATGGGATTGAGAAGCAATTCTTATGGTGCAGGGAAGGGAGAGAGCAGGCATTGAGCCCCCGTGGAGGGCTCTGGCCGGGTGGGCCCTCCCAAGCTCAGAGCCAAGGGTAACACCCCTTCCTTGCCCAGTCACCGCTAGAGACAGCACCTGGATTCTGTCCCCCTCCAGCTTGGCACCCCCAGGGGCCCCTCCCCAAGGGGCCTCCAGTCCCCCTGTCCTGGCCCCTGGCTTCTTTCTAACACTGGCCCTGATCCTCCCACGACCCCCGGGCTCCTGGTCAGGACAGGGTCTGGGGACTGCCTGGCCCTCCACCCCTGTTCTGGACACTAGATGTCTCCAGAAACGGCCTGAGCAGCAGTTCGTCTGGGTCACAGGGGGGCGTGGCAGTAACATGCCAGGTCTCCAACCCTCGGCTTCAAGCAAGCCGGGATTCCTCCGAGTCCTACCTCCACGCAATCTGCCATTTCTCCCTGTAAGATTTCGCCCGATGGCTTCCCGCCACGTGCCCGAGGAGGGCCCAGCCAGGAACTGAGTGTGGTCGGGCAAGGGGTCAGCTGCCCCCTCAGGGTGCTGCCAGGACCCCGTGGCCGCATGCACCCCCTGCCCAGAGAAGTCCATGTGTGGCGCGGGGGCCAGCCCTGGCCTCGGCAGGCCAGGCACCCCTGAGCACCACGGCGCTCGCTCCCAGAATGCATGTCCGTTTCCCTCCCTGCACTGGCAGGGCTGAGTGATCACGGGCTCAGGCCTGTTCGCAGGGTGACATCACGGGTGCCAGTCAGTGACAGCCATTGTCACTGGGCTTTGGGGTGACCAGTGATGACAGTGGGAGCAGGTGCCCCTGCCTAGGGGTCAAGGACACCGGCCAGGCCATGGGTGGACTCCAGGCCTCCCCAATCCTCTGAAATTGTAGTCCAGGCTTTAGCGGTGGGTTTTGTTATTCTGGGAAGAGAACTCACAGCCTCCGTCAAAGTCTCAGAGGAGCCTGCGACCCCAAAGGGGTTAAAAGCCCCAAGTAAGCAGAGGACCTTCTTGTTGAGACATCCTCAGGCCCAGCAAACTGAGGAGCCCGGTGGGGAGTGGGGCGGGGTCTGGGGTGGGGGGAATGGAGGGCAGGCCCCAGCTGGGGTGCCGGCCAGGGCTCCTCTCTGGTTGGTCCCTTTGCGCCCTCGGGTGGGGAAGCTGAGGGGGGAACCAGCCTTCGCAGCCCGAATCTCAGCCTTGTCCTTGCTGTGGGTGCAGGTTGCAGGCGCAGGCGGGACAGATGGTCCCTCCGCAGGCCCCTCCGCCTCCTCCCACACGCTGTCTGGAAGGTGGCTTTGGCATGGCCCCACCAGAGCTTCTTCCTGGAGGAAACTCAAAGCCAGTCGTTGGGATTGGGTCCCCTGAGGATGGAGCAAAGCTGCGACAGAGGCTCCGGAGCCGCTGCGGAGGGAGCGAGCGTGGGCGAGGGCCGCCACTTCGAGTGGGGGTCCCCATTCGGCCTTTCTTGCTCTTCTCTAACCCTTTCCTTTCTCTCCCCAGGCCATCTGCGGGGACTGCGCCCAAGAGCAGACAGCCCACCCAGTCGCCCTCCTAGAAAAAGGACAGAAAGGCGACCAGGGCATCCCCGGTGTGCCAGGCTTTGACAACTGCGCCGGGGTAGGAGGCTGCGTCCTGGGGGGAGCAGCATGCGGGGTGCTCCCTGGCCTCCTCCCCTGGGAGGAGCTGCGTGCAGGGTGCTCCCTGGCCTCCTC